GCAGGGCAACTGAAATAGTTACTTTTTAGTGGTTGGGTATCTACCAACTGAGAGGTATGGAAGAATCGGTAGTATTGAAATCAAATACTAAAGGTGTCAACACTGGATCACGACAAGCAGGGCATGAACAAAACTTCCACATGGGAACAACACACATATGAGACAAATGAAGCCAAGACATTAGAAACACAAACAAGTATAAATGAATTTCAAATGGTACTGGGTAACATGCACAGAAATCTTTTGTAACATGCAGTAATCACATTGTACAGTCAACACCATGCATTACCACACGCTTCCACTTAAATGTTCGTGCATTTATGGAGTCTAAAACTTTAGCAGTTAGCTACCAAAAGGAACCATTTGCATAGCTAACAACTGAGCTCACTATCCTGGGGATTATTATGGGGAAGCTGGTAGACACTTTCTTCATAACCAGACATTCCTGGCTTCACACCAGTTCTGTTTCAGCAGAGCAGCAATTTGCTTTCTTTCTGCAAAAACAGCACACTAAACATTCTCTTTGACTAACAGGGGCTGGTACTGTTATCAGTTGTGGTAAATGGCTCTGTCTACATTCTGTTTTCTGCCCCAGCCATATCACAAATAAAGACTAGTGGCAGATTAGATCATGGAAAACAGCAATGAGGTATTTCCATTAAAGTGGCCTCTCCCCCAGTCAAGAGATATCAATCCTATAGAGCACTTTTGGGATGTGGAATGAAAGAATTGTGGGATACCATAATAATAATAGCATGGACACAAATTTTGAAAGAGTTCTTCTAGAATATAGTCAAATCCATGCCAAGAAAAATTAAGGTGATTCTCAAGCAAAAGGAAGTCCAAACTGGTACGAGAAGAGTATACCTAATAAAGTGATCAGTCAGTAGATGTACCATCTTTAACTAGTGATGTCCATCTTTGACAATGTTTTGATGACAAGAATTTATTTTTTCCTATATATATATATATATATATATATATATATATATATATGTTTTTAACTACATTGCACACTGTTTTGTCTATACCAAAAATTAAATAGATATTTACTCATCTGTATGTGTATGTAATCACACACACATATATGGTTGCTCATACCTCCTTATTTAACTCATTTTCACACACACACACACACATATATATATATATATATATATATATATATATATATATATATCTCAAATATGTGGTGCAGTTCAATTATATTACAATGAATCATTCATACAAAAAGTAGATTAGTAAAGTTAATGATATAAAATGGTGAAAACTCTTCGCAAACAAAATTTTAAAGTTGCATTAACCAACGAACCACTGGATGCATGTTATGATCCTTGTTTTTAATAACTACAAGTTGTATAAGGTCTTTTTTTTAATCTGCTAGTACGTTTGTATGAATGATTCATTGTAATATAAATTGAATTGTACCACATATTTGATTTAAAAGAACTGATCTGACGTGCAAATTTTAAGGATAACAGCTGAGACATTACTCTATTTGTTGAACAATTTAGTTCATGCCACATTGACTGATAAACTCCTACAGCAAAAAAATTCTCAAATTACCATATTAGTAAAAAACGCACTCTCTTAAATTTTCAAAAAATTCAACCATAGCGTTGCGACTGCACACTCCAAGAGTTTTTATCCGTTAACAATAACACATTACTAAAAAAACATATTTCGATTCACATTTAATCTTTCATCTCCGATACTACCTGGATTTACTAAAAACAAAATAATTTCCATGCCTGAGGATGACTGTACAGTTGAAAGTACTAGCAGATTAAAAAAAGACCTTATACAACTTGTAGTTACTAAAAAAAAAGGATCATAATATTTGAGTGGTTCGTTGGTTAATGCAACTTTAAAATTTTGTTTGCAAAGAGTTTTTGCTATTTTATATCATTAACTTTACTAATCTACTTTTTGTATGAATGATTCATTGTAATATATACACACACATATATATATATATATATATATATATATATATATATATATAATTTTTATGTTCTTCATTTATGTTTTTGTGAATTTTTATAAAAAGGAAAATAGAACTATTTTCTTAATTGCTCAGTAGCAGTGTTTTCTGACTGAATTAACATTTCTGAACCAACTAAAAACTGTCATTTCCTTTTGAAAGCAATTATTAAAAAGGCTAGTTGACTCCATTTGATTGTATTTAATTAGCTATTTAGAAATCGGGGCAAGATTAGAAACTTACACCATTAATATATATAAATCCATTTGTATTTCTTCCAGAAAATTTATAAATATCCTGTTTAGAAGTTGCTATAATTTATAGACATATAAAGAAAATATGTCTCTCTGTGTTGCATAACTCAAGGAACAAAATGAGATTGGTAGTGCTCATCTTTGAGTACACAAGAGGTCAATTTAGGCCAGACAAAATTATTTCTGGCCAAACTGCAAAAAGAGGCATCATTTTAGACGAAACTGCAGAAAAATGCTTAGTATTTCTGTCTGAATTTCTGGGACATGGATAATTATTTGCACTATTTACATGCAAACTCTTATCCTCATCTTTTGTTGTTATCACACCATTTCGGCCATTGTGCCCTCCAACCTTCATCATCTATATGTCAATCCGGCTAACTTATAAGGAATTCCAAACTTTACCCTTTATTTAATCTACAAGGGTAGACTGTTTTTGTTCCGGAAATATTTCGTCTTGTTCTTAGTACTACTCAGTTATTGCTTGCCCTGTTTCCACAGAGTCCAAAAACGTACGGCCCAGCCCAGGGATTGAAATCATAATTACTGTGTCACCAAATTTATAAATATTTATTCATAAAAACAAAAAAAGAAATGAGCACCTGTTCGAGATAATCTACATTCACTTTGTACTGATGCCCTTGGGAAAGACATGAATTATCATGAATCATATGAAAACAAAGATAAAAACTTGATTAAAAAGTAATCTGCAAACATCAATTATGTCAATTAATTATTTAAAAAAAAAAAAAAAAAAAGATTAAAAACCTTGCAAGAACATGTCTAATTTTCTGGGATGAGAAATTAACATTATTTATATTTAGACTATTGTCCCCATCTTTGTTGTTGTTATCACAACATTTCAGCCACATGGCCCTCTAGCCTTCATCAGTTTTATATTGATGCGAGTAACCTAGAGGGTATTCCAAACTGAACCCTTCATTTAATCTAGGGGTATAGACTGTTCGTGTCCCACTGACTATGTCCAGTGATATCCTGTCTAGTTCTTATTCTTACTACTGCATAGTTATTGCTTGCCCTGTTTCCACTGAGTTCAATTACACACTGCCCAGCCCAGGGAGTGAACTCTCAATTACTATGTCACCAAATTCAAAAGTATAAATATTTATTTCTCAAAAAAAGAAAAGAAAAATAAATCAACACTTGTTCAAGATATTCATACTCATGCCCTTGGAAAAGACATAAATTGTCATGAATCATAGGAAAACAAAAATAAATGCTTCATTAAAAAGGAATCCTCAAAAATCAGTTATGTAAATTAATGCATTAAAAAAAAGATTAAACACTTTGCATGAATATCTGTCTGAATTTCTGTGATGAGAAATTAATGTTATTTACATTTAGACTATTATCCTCATCTTTGTTGTTGTTATCATAATGGCTCCCTGTACATGGAAAAGAACAATCTACCTGTGAAAAGAATAATGTAGATTAAATAAAAGGTTGATTTCAAAATTCCCTGAAAGTTGCACAATCAACAGACACTTGAAGAAGGTCGGTGAGCACAACAGCCAAAAGACTATGATAATAACAACAAAGATGAGGACATTAGTCCAAATGTAAGCAAAAAATAATTTTATTTCAGATCATATATCTATTTATGTTTATATTGTAAATTTTTTGTAAAACATGAAATAGAACCATTTCTCAATTGTGTGGCTGCAACAATTCTGATAGACTTAAGATTCCTGGAACAACTGAAGAATGTCAATATCTTTTTTAAAGTATTTGATAAAAGTCTGGGTACTTCTGCTAGTACTTTGATAAACAACAATTTTCTTCAATTTTTTTCACTGCTGAAAGAAAAAAAATACTGGAACGACTGGTTAGTCATATTAATGTATGTCTTCTGTCAATTGGCAAGCATGACAGTTTCAATAGCAAGCAGATAAGGTTTATGGGTTCATGTTCTAAACTCAGAATTGTCCCATGGAACACTAGCTTAGTGCATTAAAGTGTTGGTTCATTAATTTGGCATCATAGCATTTCAATCCCTGGCTTGGGTAGTGCAGGCTTAGACTCTGGTTTGATTGGTTTGTTTTTTTTTACTGCTTATCAACCTTTTTAAGGTTGTTTAAATCTGAAACATATTTTTGGATTAAAAAGAATTTTGGGAGGATAATGATTTTCTAATACAAGTTTTACTATTTAGCCCATAGTTGGGAGGAGAAGAGGTGGATTTATATCTTTCCAAGGGTATTTGCATGTAAAGGAATCTAACAAACCAGACTGGAATTCAAACTCAGCTCTCTGATTTCTCATTCCAAGCCGTTATCCATTAAATCACCATGCCATATCCAAGCTTACAGCACCTAGTACTCCCAAGTGATCACTAGTTACTAACTTGTTTCAAGCCTAGACTCAGTGGAAACAGGGCAAGCAATAACTGAGCACTATAACTAAATTAATAGACATGGAAAAGAACAGTCTATCATAAATTAAATAAAGGGTTGAGTTCAAAATTCCCTGAAGGTTATCGGATTGACAAGCACCTGATGAAGAATGGAGAGCACAATGGCCAAAACATTGTGATAACAACAATAAAGATGAGGACAATATGCTAAATGAAAATAATATTCCCTATCCATTATTTGTAAGTAATGTCAGTGAGCATCGTGTAATCTCTTCTCGCTGCAGGTGGTATGGTTTGCTATACTAGACTTTTCTACTTCCCTTTTGGATGTGGTGTGTATTCTCAAGCTTTTATTCTTTGTATTTCAGGTGACCAGATCCAGAGACCCATGTACCAAACCCAGCCTGGATACCCTGCTCAATCATCAAACATGCCACCCCTCTACCCTTCTCAACCTGGCTACCCTCCCCAAGATGCTTCTTCTCAGCCTTTATATCCAGCACAGCCAGGTTATCCCACCACGGTACCTACAGGTGCAACTACAGGGTATCCATCCCAACCAGGGTATCCACCCACTAACTATGCTCCAAAGCCTAATGTAGGAGGTAAGTCTTGACAGTATTTGTTTATTAAAATCAATGTGTATCACCTGTATTTATTTTAAAATTTCATTTAGTATTATATTTTTAATCTGTATTTGATTGTTATTGGGTGACCCCCTAAATTTGTGGATCTGCATGGGGCATATAAAGTGAACAACACAGAAAGTGGAAATGGTGTATTGGAGTTCAAATTCTAGCCAAGGCCATTTCATTTACTTTCACACTACTATCCATGGAAATGTATAAATCCATCTCTTCACATTCACATATAGGGGTTAATAAAAATCTGTTTATATCTATCTACTTACCTCAATCTTTTCATATCTATCGATCAATCTTCCTCAGTCAACATCTATCAATTGATTGATCTATTTGTGTCTATCACTCTCAATCTGTTCATATCTATCTCAGTCATTCATATATATATATATATATATATATATATATCTCACACCTTTTGCACTACTTGGAGTTTCATGCTAAATGCAATCTTCAGGTGCTGAGCATATACCGACCATTAATTAATTTGAAATAAGCATAAGTAAATATTAATTTAATTTTAGATTGGTGAATTATCAACTATAAATTATTAATAATGAAAGGGAGCTAACTTAATTTAATATGGAATAGTAAAATTATTAAAGAAAAATATCTTAAAAAATGTATATATATATATATATATATATATATATATATATATATATAAATAAATAAATATAACTTAAATAAAAAAAACATAAATGAAAATATATAATAAAAACTTTATATTAAAAACCCAGTAAGTAATAATAACCTATAATATGTAAGCAAATAAATAAATACACTCTACACTGAAAACTAAACTGTGAATTAATCTGGTTCTGCATGCTTAAGTAGATATTTATTTTTATGCTGACATGTGGCCATCAGTTCTTTGTTAGCAGTGTGTAGTTGTTCTCAGTGGAAATAAGTGAGCAATAACTGAGTAGTATTAAAAATAAGAACTAGACAATATATCCCAAGCCATGGGCAGTAGAACAATAATGGTCAACCTCCCATAGATTAAATAAAGGATTCATTTTGGAATTTCTGATGGGGCACAATGTCTGGAACCTTGTAATAACAACAAATATTAGGACGGTAGTCTGAACGTAAATAGTGTAAATAATGTTCTTATGTATAATTTAAAAATCTTCATCTTTTATTTTATTGAAACAATGCTAATATGAATTCAGAGTTGACAAATGAAATGGCAAAGCTATCAGTAGATGACCTTTTTTTCTGTTGTTTAATGACAAATGTTCATGTGATTTGAAAGTTTGTATTGAAAGCTTCCCATTTCTGAAATTAACATGCTACACATTTCAAGAGGGAGCTTATTCAATGATTAATTAGTCATTGATATTAATTAATATTAATTTATCTTCCCATCACTGTAATGCAAATGTTTGTCTTTTCAGAGGGATCTTTTCCAAGTTCAGCTCCTTCAACTGTAAGTTAGCGGGCTTCTCTTTTTTTTATTTTTTATCTTTTTTCAAACTAGTGTTGCCCCATCACATTTCAGTATTTGCAGGCCCAAGATTGTCTATAAGAATGGAAAAACTAAGAATATTTTTAGCCCCTCCATACAAAAATACCTTAAATCTTAATGATGGTGACCATATAGAACACACTTACATCATTAAAAAGTTGAAATCTAAAATTGTATAAAAAAACAAAAATAAATTCTTGATTTCAGAACAAACTTATGTACCGGGGGTCCTCAACTTAAGAAAAAATTCCATTCTTACTGTGCATTATAACATAGTTTCTGTGTTAATCAGAACATACCCACAACTTTGCATGAATAATCAGTTATGTCACTCACTGATGCTAATGCAATAGTAAAGTAATAATCTAGGACATCACAACACATTTCTATGACATATCTTAACATAATTAGGATTACAAAAGCACATGGAGAATATAAATATAATACATATAATGAAATTAAATTATTTCAAGCTGCTTGTTTATTTATCACCAGTGATGTCATTGGCTGATGACAAAGTATAAGATCTTGTCTCTCACACTACTCATAAGCAGCAGCAATTCTTGGTAAGAAAATAAAACAAACATGAGTTTGTTTTTTCTTTTTTTATCAGAAATTCACCAGCTTATAGGTAATGTCCTCATCTCTTACAGGGAAACTCAATATATGTACATGTTTTAAGTGACAGTCAAATGCCTTAAGTCAAGCAACTGTTCAATGTTTGTCACTGTTTCTCTCTTTCCAGAGTGTTTAAAAATGTCTAATGTCACTTCCATGGTGATGGCTTTCTATTTCTTCAAAGTACCACCATCAAAAGAGGTTACACTATGCTTGAGAGCCATAATGAAGGGCAATAAGTTTCCACAAACAGTAAACATGATAGGGAGGGAATACAGAACATTTCAATATGGTGTACAATCAGGAACTGATCCATGCTGTCTTATGTAGGAGCCAAACTGCATGTCAAAATAAAATCAAGGGAGATTGCATCATAGATCAGAACTGCTGTAACCTGGGAACTTACTGTACTTTAAAAAAAAAATGGAAATTTTTTTTTTTTTTGCTTAGAAATACAAAGCTTTTTTAAGTTGCAGGAGAGATCTGAGATAATGAATGGACATGTATGCCTGAAGTTCTAATATGAGTGCAGCAAACAAACTTATTCTTTAAAATCAAACCATGGCTAAACAAAGAGGAATAATGAGAGACTGGTCCCAAGTTTGTAGGTTTTCTGTTGAAGTTTTCTTCAGCATATAACCCAATCATAGAGATTAGCTGTCTTTGTGATGGTATATTATTATTATAATAATTATATGACTGTCCTGAGTAAATTGAATGCACTTTAATTTAGTGTAAGTTGCCAAATAATTTTCTAGAAACAATAAATGTTTCACCTCTCCAAACTTAAACAACATAGAATTAAGTTCAACTTTAATTGATTTTGTTTTAGTTCTGCAGTTTATATACACTCTGTGGTGTTCTTATATTTCTTACTACATTTTAGCCAACTATAAGATTTGAAACACAAAACCGCACCCTAATTCCAATTGTCCAACACAGTATATTTTTCTTAACACATACAAACACATATTTATCCCTATGAGAGAAAAAGGCATTGAAGGCCACCATACTCTTTCACAATTGCAAATATAATGAACCCCTTGAAAGATCTGAAACAGATTTAATCAATTTTTACAAGTGAAAATTTATTGGTTTGGTTTCAGACCATGAAAATTGATTAGATCAGTTTCAGATCTTATCAGAGAGCTGTCCTGAACTAAAGGAAGTAAATTATTACAGCATTCAGTTCTAGAATATGTTCACCAATATTAATAATGACTAGTTTTCACTCATCATTTCATGGTTTTCCTATTTGAAGTTTCTCATGAATCTTACTTCTTTAGTTAATGATTGAATAAGCATGTGGCGAGTTTTATGACAATAAAATATCCATAGAAATTCCCCTATTGAATTGTTAAATATTTGAACTTAACAACTTTAACAAAATATTACAATAACAATCATAAATATGAATGCTGGTTTTTATTTTAAGTAAGGGGGTACAAATGAAAATATTTGAAATTGACAACTTCTTCCATGTCACTGAAACAAACGTCAAACATGTAATGAGTTGGTCGGTCAACTTGACACCCCCAAAGTGAGTGGAGGTGGGCAGGTGCGGAAACTGATTGGTAGCTGGCTTGTTGGTGTTTTGCATAAGCGAGTTACCAAGCTCTATGTAAAGGGCTGGAATGAGAAGGAGGCTCAGAAGTGGAGACTGTGCCTGTTGCTACGACAGTAGGAGAGAGAAGAAGTTTGTTTTTTGGGTTTTTTTTTTTTCGTGACACATTTCACATTTCAACTTCTTCCATGTCACTGAAACAAACGTTAAACATACTGCTATCTTCCCTTCTTTTTTTCATTTTCTGACTGAAACCAAGTAGCATCTCTGATATGTCTTTTCTTTCCACATAATCAAAACGGAATAGTCCATTATTTATAAGATATTAGCAGGAAATGCTCAACAGTTTTTTCTTTCTTTGTTCACTGAAACCAAGTAGTGTCTCTGATATGTATTTCCACACAATCAAAATAGAATAGTCCATGATTTATCAGAGTGTGATAGTCATGTGAACTAATGAAGGGAGGAACAAGCGTAATTATTATGTGATTTTAAAACAGCATCTGTCTTCAATTCTATAACTACAAGATACAGTCAATGGTGGGGGAAAGATGTTTGATGTACAGAGCCTCTCTTATAATGATATGTTTTCGGTAATTTGATTTACAAAGACCTCTCATGTTTTCAGTAATTTGATTTACAAAGAACTCTCATGTTTTCGACCAGTATTTTTAAAGATTTTTATAGATTGTAAGTTGATAAATGTTTTTTTATAGCACTCTGCTCTGATAAGTGGCATGTGAGACCTCTGCTCAAAGAGGTAGTAGTATGTCCGATATAGGTAATACATATATATTGTTTAACAATGGGAGCAGCCTGCTGAAAGTATTTTAAAAATAGATATCACCTAATAGAATTCAAGACCACACAAATAACACAGTCAAAATAGGAAAAGAAACTAACAACACCAAAGACAAAACCCACTTGGCTAAGGAAGTGGGTGAAAGCACTTGGGACAGTGGGTGATATGGACAGTTTTTGTACCCCCTCACTCTTACCAAATGGAAAATGTAAGAACATTGGAAAAACTAAATAAAAAGAATTAATAAAATTTTCCTTGTCTGTCATATTAAACAAAAGGTGTTATATGATATTTATAAAATGTTTACTTAACATATTATAGTTATTAAAACAGCATATGACTTCAATGCTATAACTTCCAAGGAGAGATTAAGTCAATGAACTTAGAGAATTATATAACAGCCCAATTCTGTCCATTCTAGCCAACTTAATTTACCACCAGTTGCAATTATTTTCTTCCTAATCCATAAAGTAGAGATTGAGTGCTGAAACTTTGTTAAAACAAAATGTAAGTCAAAAATTGCAAAATTCAGTTGGTTAAATCATTAAATTTTCTCCCTGCCAACTGAAAATATTTATTTAGTGGTGTAAAGAATTTAAGTAACTATGAAACATTAATTGTAAGAAGACAGAAGATATGGTTGTCAGCAAAAGAAGCAGCTGAACGTGCAAATTACATATTGGAGATACCAAAATTAAACATGTGCTAAAATTTAAATATTTAAGAACTGTTTTAACAGAGGACAGAAAACATGACACTGAAATCCAAAGGTGTATTGGGATAGTGAAAGATGAAAGGTAAGAATTAAGAAAGAAAGAAAAAAGTACTGAACTGTTATTTAATATCAATCATCCTATAAGGAAGTGAATGCAGATGAAGAAGAAAACTTAAGGCAATGGAAATGTGGTTCTACAGAAGGATGCTGAGAATAGCATGGACTGAACACATGAGCAACAACAAAGATTTGAGGAAATGGAAACAAAAAGGACATATAGAGAGAGTTGAAATTTCTAGGCCACATAATGAGACAAGAAGCCTTGGAGAATTAGACACTCACAGGATATTGAAAACAAGAGGGCACTAATCTACCAAATGAGCCCGTGTAAATGGTTGGCAGAACAGGGATTAGGAGATATAAGTAAAAGACAAACTTTACTAAGGGCTACAAATTTTCTCTAAAATTTTGTTGTTGATCACATATTCAGTCCATGGTATCCTCAGCATCCTTCTGTAGAACCACATTTCTATTGCTTCAGGTTTCTTCTTCCTCTTTGAGGAGATTGTCCAGTGTACACTGTCATATAGGAGGACAGATATCACATAACAGTTTAGTACATTTTTCCTTGTTTCAAACAAAGTTTTTCTGTTTCTTAATACTCTACTTAGCTTTTGGAATGCATCTTTGGCTATTCCAATACGCATTCAGATTTCAGTATCACACTTTCCATCCTCTATTAAAACACTTTCTAGATATTTAAATTTTTGTACTTATTTGATTTTGGTACTTCCGATTTGTAATTTGCATTCTGGGCTCATCTTTTTGCTTCTGTTTTCTTGCAATTGAAGTTTACTCATTTCTTCTTGCTTTCCTTCACTACCTTCTGTTGGATATTTTTTATAGTTTTCTGTCCTTGTCTGTTATCAACACTGTCATCTGCATATCTTATGCTGTTAAGATTGAAACCACCAATAATGAATCCTGTTAGGATTTGTAATTCTCTCAGAATCACCTCATTCTATAGGTTGAATAAGTCTGGTGACACATAATTGTCTTACACTCTTAGCTGTTTTTCTATGTCTGCTGAACTCATTTTCAATCTGTTTGTAGGCAGTTTATTGCCAGTATAGGTTCTTAATTATTCTAATATCCTTCCCTATTATGTCAAGCTGGTCCAACAGTTTGTTGTGACATACTTTATCAAACGCCTTTGCATAATCGATAAAACACAGGTACACCTCCTTCTGCATTTGTATTCCTCTTATATCATTCTGAGCATAAATCTATCCAAAGTAAAATACAGCAATGATTATTATTTCATTTTTCTCTTGCGAAAATATTTTCACATACTCGTTTAATAAACCTTTATGGGTTACATAAACAGTAATTGATGTGTACTATTTCAAAATTCTAATGATACACTGTTAAAATTATTTAAAGATTTTAACTTTAATATTCTATTGCAGACTTTGAATGACAACCTTAAACAGATGACCATATATGGAGGGGCTGAATTATTCCATCCAACTGTAAAACCTGCAAGTCCTTTCTCTGCTGAAAGTGATGCCAGTGCCTTACGTAATGCTATGAAAGGATTTGGTCAGTATGTTAGCTGACATTTTTGTGTGTGTGTGTGTATGTCTATGTGTACAGGATTTTATCCTACCTCCAATATATACACACTTTTACAGCCTTTAACTAAATATTATTCTTTAGGTTAGCCTGGGTTGTACTGATGGATCTTCCATATCAACCCTTGTTGGATTATTTAAGGTTGAAAATTTATTATACTTGAATCTATAGACAAGCATTGATATGGTTTATATTTTAGCCTACAGGCAAACATTGGTTGGGTTTATACTTTAGCCTATAGGCAAACATTGGTTGGGTTTATACTTTAGCCTATAGGCAAACATTGGTTGGGTTTATACTTTAGCCTATAGGCAAACATTGGTTGGGTTTATACTTTAGCCTATAGGTTAACATTGGTTGGGTTTATACTTGAGTAAAAATTGATAAGATTTATACTTTAGTCTACATGGAACTGGAAGATCTTGAGTTTGTAGGTAAACATTGATCAGGTTCATACATTAGTCTCTGTAAACATTGATTGAGTTTATACTTTAGTCTTGAGGTTTATACTTGAGGCTATTGGTAAACATTGAATTTGTAGGTAAACATTTGTCAGATTTTTGCTTGAGTCTATAGGTAAACATTTGTCAGGTTTATACTTGAGTCTGTTGGTAAACATTGGTCAGCTTCATGCTGCAATCTATAGGTAACTATTGGTTGGGTTTATACTTGAGTCTGTAGGCAAACATTGGTTGAGATTATACTTGACTCTATAGATAAACATTGGTCAAGTTTATACTTTAGTCTGCATGGAGTTGGAAGGTGTCGAGTTTGTAGGTAAACACTGGTCAAGTTTATACATGAGTCTCAGTAAATATTGATTGGGCTTATACTTGAGACTGTAGGTAAACCTTGGTCAGATTTTTACTTGAGGTTATTGGTAAACATTGGTTGGGTTTATACTTACTTGAGTTTACATGCATTTACCTGTAAGGTGTCACCTTTGGGACTGAAGGTTTACTCTTCTGTGGGGAATGCAGTTCCCATATTTTAGGAACCTACTGACAGGGTAATATTTTTTTTAGAGGTAACTGATTTCAAATAATGGTTGCAATGAAATGATTTTGAGTAAAGGAAATCCTTAAATGCTATTGGAAGTGCAAGACTGACTAAAGTGCAAAGACAATTTAGAAGAGCATTTCAAACAGATCCACCCATACGATTTAGCATTGCATGCATTAGAGATAAGTTTGAAGAAGCAGAAGGAATTATTCAAGATGTCACAAATTATCATTTCAGAAGATTACAGACCTCCATGAGCCCCTAAACAAAAGAAAGGCTGCTTAAAAACTTATCAACATTCAAGAAAATTTGTTTTACCATAAAATATAGTGTCTATTATATTTTGAAACAAACTCATTGTAAATGTTTTATTACAACATTAATGCATGCCCTCAAGTACTTTCAATCTCATCCAATAAAAATAAATAGACATAATATGTCTAGATTACTGAGAAACCTATTTTCCTGAAAAATTTTTTTAAAAGAAAGATTTTATAAATTTCAACCAACAGTAGCAATGGTTGCTCAGTCAAAAAAATCCCAAATGTTTCTGTTGTATAAGAGTAAGTGTTGTCGTTGACACTGGTTTGAAACTAGATTGCCAGTGAGTAACATGGGCAATTCCACGTTCACTCTTTATTCTACTACTATATGGATTACAATTCTCTTCTGATCATTAAACTATTAGGTGATTAGTACTTGAACCAGTATTACTAGTGCGAATACTATTGGAAGGCGTTACTACTAGTATTGACATAGACAAAGATTTGAATATAATGAGCATTTTTTGAAGTGATGATGAGTTTCCGTTTGACATAACAAAAGTGACAATCAAAGCCATCCGACATCATAAAAGTTTCCTTATAAGGAAACAGCTAATTACCATAGATTAAGCATTATACAGTGAAAATTTCAGATCAAAATCAGCTATCAAACTAAAGAATTATTTATTTACCTGTATATTTGTATCTCATTGACCAATCAGAAAGTGTAATATATGATAATTTAAATTCAATTTATTACTATTTTTATCTAGGCACTGATGAAGCTACCATTATAAACATATTGAGTAGAAGGTCCAACAAACAACGTCAGGAGATTGCTGTTATGTTCAAAACAATGTATGGCAAAGTAAGTACTGGATAAATCTGATGTCTTATTTTTCTGTTAAATTGTGGCTTTAAACAGGGGCTTGTTCTTGCTCACTTTATATATGGCAAAATTTGGGCAAACATGGAACTTCATACCCACAATAAGACTGAGTGTCAACAGGACAGTGTTTCCTTTGACACCACTATTATTTTAACTATCTTCACTCTTCATGATGTTTTATTGTTTTGAAAAGTAATTATTAGAGTTGTAATAAAACTTAAACATGTGATGAAAGTGTATTTATACATTTTTTCTTGAGAATTTATAACAAAAATATTAAATACTATTTATTTATTGGATTGTGTATTTACAAGAATAATTTTATATTCACAACATTCTAAAAATTAATACAATTAAAATTAATGCAATGCAATATTTAACATTTCCCAATTTCTAAAGAAATAAATATTAAAAACAGTTTTTTATTCATAAATTTATAAACATTTACTAAACTATTAAAATATGCAAATCAACTATAAGGAAATCTTTATTTTATAAAGTTTAAATCAACTGGCAATTAGCCAATGTTTTGTCAGACATTACAGTAAATAATGTAAAGTAAATACACAATGCCTCTATCTTGAGTGACTTTTAGCCCTTGTATTGAGTGAATATATATATATATATATATATATATATAATGAAAAACAGACCACTTTCGGTTTACCAAGTTCTTCATAACTTAAATATATATATATATATATATATATATACACACACACACACTATTCCTAATAATAATAAATATACATTTTGTTCCTAACTAGTAGCACAACTCGGGATTTTATGTGCAGTGCAATTGTAAGTTTCAGATCGAAAGTTGACCATTTTAGATTTTAAATATTTATATTCAAACTACTGTTATGATAGTGGATCAGACTATTTATTTACACATAGACATATATATATAATTTGCAAAAAAATTTTTTATATATAAAAAACAATATACACACACACACACACACACACATATATATATATATATATATATATATATATATATATATATATATAAAAATTTTTTGATCAGCCAAACATGCTACCTTGGTTTCAAACCTTTCAGTATCTTCAGGCAATCCAGGCTAAATAATTTACTAATACTTTATTATCTGCATGTTAATTTTTTTTAATTTTATTTTCTTTATACATGCATTAAGCACTTTTTAATACTTCTGTTCCCTGGTCTAATTCAACTCTGAACAATAACTTTTTATAATTATATATATATATATATATATATTTTTATATATATATATATATATATATATATATATATACACACACACACAAATATAATTTAAATACAAATAGACACATCTAATATATATTTTCAAAAATAATAGACATGTAAACATAAATATCATTCACATGTTCAAATATATAAGTATATATATCCACATTTACATAGATATACATAGGTACATGAAATATTTCATTACAGTTTATATCTCATATTAACATGTACATAACTACATGTATCTAAAAATGCTCACACACGCAAGCACACATCAATATGCATCCATAGACATCTATTCATAAAATAAAAGTTATATACACACACACACACACACACACACAAGAATTCACCCAAATCAATATAATCCGTCTTTGTCATATTCATATGAAATCAGTATGTGCAATTTTTAATATAGCTTGACTTGATCCTTTCTTTTGTCTAGGACATAATTCAAGACTTGAAGTCTGAACTGAGCGGACATCTGGAAGAAGCTATTATGGCCCTGTTTAAGCCACCAGCCTTTTATGATGCTTGGTCACTTCATAAAGCCATGTCTGTAAGTCCACTTAACAATTTGTTGCTGTTTTTTGTTCTGTCCATCAGTTGGGATAAAATCAATTCATGCTTTAGAGAATGAACAGAAATTCAGGGGTAAATCTTGCTTAATTCCATATTGCCTTTCATTTAGAGTCTACCAGCAATGTGCTCAGAAGGGATCTTCACATATCTTGAGCCCAAGATCTTCATAGCCCCCTACCCATGCTTTTAGCTCTCTGCACTGCACCATCACCTCCTATGACAGATGCCAATGCTATGCAATGCAATGAATCCCAATGCAGCAAGATAGAGAGACAAAATATTAGCTTTCTTTATAAATCTTTAAAGAATTTTTACATTAACCAATTTGGCAAGAGAGCACTATTTAAATTCACTGGTCTGCTCATAAAAAATAAAGAAAATAATCTTTGTAAATTAGCATTCAATAGGTTTTCCTCAAGCCTCAGCATTTTTCTGAATATAAAAATATTCTTTTTTTTTTTTTTAATAGCATTTTAAAAGATGGGTTCTGTTAATAATATAAATACAGTGTCAAATTGATCCCTGACTTATTAAAGAGATATCCATACTTTGTTTTTCTTTACAAATGTCAAGTTTGAAACTGTTTACATCATTGATAACTGCATACTAATGATTTTGTCTTTTTCCCCAATTTGTAATCCAATATATTTATTAATGGCATAAGCAATTGTGAGAGGTGTGGGGAAAAATGTTTAATACACAAGAAATATTGGGTAATTTGTCAAATAAACAGGTCAGTCAGTTCCAGAACTTTTGAGAAAGCTACTCAGAGTACTGAAGATGATCTTGGATGAGATTGATAGTACTTGGGGAAGATAAAAGAAATAACCAAAACTACAGTGTCTTTCTTAGTTTTGAGGAAATTGGTCCATAAATTTGACAGGATTAAAATAAAATAGACATAATATGTCTAAATTATTCAATTAAACACAACACACACACACACACACACACACACACACACACATATATATATATATATATATATATATATATATATATATATATATATATATATGAAGTTTTCAGCAGAAATAATTTTTTTCTAATATGCATGTAGCAACATTCAAAAGTACTTGGAAAAAAATAGTATAATTTAAAAATAAATATGTACTTTTGCAAATTTACCAATAACATTAAACAACTAATTTGTAAATTTGAAAAATTTTATAAAAAATTTGATAAATCAAACTTTAAAAATGATTACAATTGTAATAAAACTTAAACATGTGAATTTATGCATTTTTTTTATTCTTGAGAATTTACAGCAAAAATATTAAACACTATTTGTTAGATTGTTTATTTACAAGAATAATTTTATATTTACAACATTCTAAAAACTAGTAAAATTAAAACTAATGCAATATTTATCATTTACAAATTTATAAGGGAATAAATATGAAAACCATATTTTTTTTCATAAATTTATAAACATTTACTAAATTATTAAAATATGTGAACCAACTATAAGAAAATCCTTATTTACTATTTTATAAAGTTTGAATCAATTGGCAATTACCTGATGTTTTGCCAACCATTCCAATAAATAATCTAATAAGGAAATAGTATTTTTGTTGTCAATTCTCAAGTACAAAGAAAATGTATAAATTCACTTTTGTCATATGTTTATGTCTTATTACAATTCTGATAATTACTTTTTCAAACAATAAACATTGTCAAGAATATAGTTAGGGAAATTATTGTTTATTAGCATTTGTTTAATGTCCCGTATAGAATATGTCTGAAGAAGAGATTACTTAGGCCCAGTAAATCATGTTTTTTTTTTTTTTATAACATCTATTTTGCATCTGTGAATACATTCACTTTTGTAGTTAAGTAATCATGAATTTCCATTAGCATTTTTTTTTTTTAATGTAAGGTGGTAAAATAAGAAATTGAAAGAACTTTAACAAAAATAACCTAATATGAACTTCAGACAGTTTATTCACAACTTCAGATGTAAAAATCAACATTGTATCCAAAAGTTGGGAAAGTATAATAAAAAAAAATTAAACAGACCTTGTTTGTCGGCTTTTTTGATCAAATAAGGTATTTTTTTTACAGGATATTTGTATAACTATATTATATATATAAATGTGTTTGAAATTTTTTGGTAAATCACAGGGTCTTGGTACCAAAGATTCTGTTCTTGTGGAAATCCTCTGCACCAGAACCAATGCCGAAATCCATGAAATTGTCAGCAATTACAAACTACGTAAGCAGAAATTTCTCCTTTTGAAATATTTTTCTGCAAAAAAATTAAAAAATGTGACCTTTCATCATGACAATAGTTTTAGAAGTTTAGGTTATAATATAATCTATATAATAAATGTGAATGTTAGTGTGTCACACTTTTTCAACTTTACTCCTAAATGCCATAACCCAATATATCACACCATTTTGGATTCCCAAGTCTTCATTACTGCAATTGTTTTTGGCAATTTTTTTTTTTTTTTTTTTTTTTTACATGTTTTTTGCACCAAACAATTTTTATAACTTGAAAATAAATTTGAGAATAATCAAAATTAATTGTGAAATCCAGTGAAAGTCACCCATGAAATAAAAATAATAGTTTGTATGGAAATTAAGGACCTATGTACAACAAATTATCTTTAAATTAAGTGGTGGCAGAAGAATTATTGTTGAACTTTTAAAAGGTTAGCTTAAATATTAATGCAATACTTAAATGCAGCAATCAATTTTGATTTCTTCTGTAGTTTATTGTTGCCTATTGCATCTATTCCTCCCTACCTATTGTGATTGAAGGCCCAATCAAGTGCCTTCTGCAGAAGCTAGTATAGTATATATTCAATAAACCAATAAATGTTCACTGGACTTTATTCATTGACCAAAATGCCTTACAAAAGCTAAACAAAGTATTATGAAATAGGAATATTTCATTAGAAACAAAGAAAAGAGTATGCTGGATAATTTACTCATAGATGAAGAAGAGACTTGAAGCAACAAATACATGATTCTACAGAAGGATGCTGAGAATACTATGGATGAAGCATATGAATAACATGGAAGTTTTAAGGGGAATAGAAACAAAAAGAACACATATACTTAGAAAGAGGCAGTTGAAATTTCTGGGACACATGATGAAGAAAGAAGGCTTAGATAATTTGACACTCACAGGACATGTTGAAAGCAAGAGGGACAGACAGAAACAGTGAGTAACTTACCTAACAAGATTGTGTAAATGGATAGAACAGGGAGTGGGAGGGATAATAAAAAGACAAATATTGCTAATAACTTCAAAAGATAAGAAGTTATGGAGAGCCATGATGGCCTGTATCCTGAAGTAAGATAGCACACAAGAGAAGATGTCATATATCTGTAAGAACATGAGAACTGAGCATCTCATGCAAACATAGAATTTTATGAGTGAAATTATTATATAAAAAATATTTGCACATTTGTTGGTTTCAATCTATAGGAATGACTGCTAAAAGTATCCCCTCCCCAAATTTATAGACAAATCCTACAGATGAATTCTGGGATTTCTTCCTACTCAATAAAATAGACCACTTGTTAGTCTCATCTGCCATACTTTTGTTCTTTCTTGTCTTGATGCAAGAATGCTACAATCAATTGAATGTATCCCTTTTGCATGTTAACACCATTCTTACATTGTGAACTTTTTTTTCTTATTACTGTTGCTTTGCTTAGTGTTGTCTTGCATGTATATATTATTTGCTTAATATTATTTTGCCCTGTTCTTTTTATTTATTTTCTTACTGTTTATTAGAAACTTTGTTTGTTTGGGATTTCTGCCAATTACATTTAAAAATGGCCAATTACTCTACAAGTTTGATAATTAAAGAAGAAAGATCAAATAAAATAAAAGGTTCCATTTGAAAGACATTGAAAATTATCATTGATGTAATACACTTAAGAAAGTCCGGAGGCCATACAACTGGAAACAGCAGCAAAAATAAAAATGCTAAAAAGAGAATATTGAAAATATGATAATCTAATCACTTCTCTTCAGTAAAAAAAGAAATAATAATTTTCATCCAATCTCTATCAGTTTCACACATTTATAATGACCTGGCTTGAATCTTTTGCATTGTGTTGTTAATGTTAGTGAAAATATAACTCCAACTTGTCTACAACCGAATGGTAAAGCTTTAGTTACATAGAGCTCAAAACTAGACTATGGGTGTATAATTTATAGCTCTGCACTGGTATCCTATCTAAAAAAAGAAAAAAAAGCTACTACCTATCCAAAATCAAGAACTAAGACTATGCCTGAATGCTTATTGTACCTCCCCTATACATTGTAGAGACTAACAAGCTTCTGCTGTTTCTTAGATGGCAAAAATTCTTTCTTCAATATGCAATTAAACTCCAAAATAACCCCAATACCCCATCTATGGAAAAGTATTTAATAATCAAAATTCTCACTTTTCTTACAAGCAAGCTTTCTCCTTTTGGTCTCTATAATAAAGAAACCATAGCACTAATAAATCAAAACTGTGGCATTATAGCACTATTCAAATATTCAAATGTACCACCCTAGATGATCACTAAACCTGAAATAGATCTCACATTGAGAGAATTTAAAAAACAATCAACATATAAAAGTGAATACCAAAATAAATTTGGAGAATTAAGAGACAAATACCATTGCTAAAGATTAATTTATACAGATGGATCCAAAGTGTCAAATAAAACGATAGCTTCTACCACAGATGGTTGTAACAAAAAGCAAATCAGACTGCCTGATGATACTCCTGTTTTTACAGTGGAACTGCAAACCCTGAGGATGGCTTTTGATCTTATAAGGAGCTCAGGTAGAGCAGCAGTTTATGATATTTATGGGCTCCTCTGATTGCCCTAAAGAAAAAAATAGCCAACAACCTTTACATTGCAGACATACTGGAGATTTGCAAAAATCTGTTGTTTTAGCAAGAATACCAGGCATAAAGAGTAATGGGAAATTAGATGAACTAGTAAAAGAAACCTTTTTAACATGGATTATAACTAATATAAATATTGTAACCTAGAGAAATGTTACTGAATAAGAATAACCAAAACGAAGGCTCGAAATGAACAATAATATTTATAACAGGGACAACATACAAGATTTGCCAGTGGCATGAAGTAAGTAATCAACTGCTAGTGGTGAGCTAGAAGTGAATTGCAAGGGAATCTCAGTGACTACCACATACATTATATTCTACTGTATTTATATGGATTGGGACATACCCATTATAGTCCATAGATACAGTATAACAATAAAAATTCCATATACAGATTTAAAAAAAAAAAAATTAATGACAATAAAAAGCAAATGGTAAGCAATAAGGGACACATTCCCAGAAAACAAACTTTATGAACACTAGCCAAGCATCAGACAGGAAAACACAAAACAACTAAAAGGATGAAAAGAGGACATTGTGCTAACTAGAGTTTGTATTGAACATACAAGACTAACTCATGTACACCTGCTAAGAGCTGAAGATGTACCTCAATGCACCCATTACAATCATAGATTGATAGTTAAAAACATTCTGATTGAATGTGAAAGCTATTGTAGTAAATACTACAATATCACAAATATAAAAAAGATTGTTTAACAATTGTTGCCAGATAATAGGGTTTATAAAAGAAATAGGAATTTTAAAATTCCTTTAAAAAATTTTTTATGTATGTGTGTATATAAGGACTTGTTTAAATGGTTTGAATTTGAATTGACAGATTAAACAATTTATTTAAAATGAATTGTAGCTACCAAACTAAGCCCCACCAGGTTTTGGAAAAAGAAAAGTATATGTTTATATGTATTCACCTTTTTGGTGTAAAATGACTCATCAAGTTTGACATGCTGTTTAAATAAAATCTAATCAACCAACTAAACAACCAACTTGGTTGCAGCTAAAAAAAACAATTGATATGTTAGTATGTCAACCAGATGTTCTCTTTTGCCTTTGCTAGCAGTGGGAATAATTAATTTTTTTATACATCTGCAGTTCTTCATTTTATCTTTATGATAACCAGCTTTATTTCTTTATTCACTTTTTTTTTTACTTATTGGCAAACCAAAAGCACACCTAATAATATTGTGAATACTACTACTTATAACATTGTGAATGCTACTGCTGAAAATACTATGAATACTACTACTACTAATATTGTGAATGTTACTGCTGAAAATACTATGAATACTATTACTACTACTACTACTACTACTACTAATATTGTGAATGTTACTGCTGAAAATATTGTTAATGCTATCTCTGATAATATTGTAAATACTACTGCTGGTAATATTATGAGTGCTACTACTTATAATATTGTCAATATTACGACTTATGATATTGTGAATGTTACCACTGATAATATTATAAATACTACTGCTGGTAATATTATGAATGCTACTACTTATGATATTGTGAATGTTACCAACTGCTGGTAATATTGTGAATGCTAATGCTGTTAATTTGATTCCTGTCAAGAGACACATTCTTCTTTGATAGTACTTCTCAGGATCTTTTATATTAATTTCACTGTTTAAGAAAATAAAGAACTAGAATATTAACTTGAACACATGCATCTACTATCAATAACGTTTATAGCAATAAAGAATGATGTTGGATTCAAAAAGATAATCCAGTTAAAACTATGTATGCATGTATGTGTACTCAAAAATTTCATTATTCATTTGATTTATAGATTAATAAAGATTAATTATTGATTATACAGATTTCAGACAAGATTTGGAGAGAGATATCATGTCAGATACAAGTGGCCATTTTAAACGCCTACTTGTTTCCTGTCTCCAAGTGAGTATCAGTTATTTTATTTATATTGTACCACCTTTGTCTGTTTGTAACGTCTTTAAGGATACAACATTATCATTATTAATTATTCTGTTTTGTTCTTCAATGTAGACTACATTTCTCAACCTTTTTACTCTTGTGGAAGTCTTGAAATGGTTTTCGTGTCTCAGGAAACACCTGTATAAAAATTATTATCTATCATTATTAATATGTTTCTTTTATATTTTATCATAGTTCACATGGTAAACATAATATATGGATACTCGTCTGGTACTCAAGTGAGTCACTCAATGATAACTGAATTTGCCACATACAGGTCCTGTCCAATGTCCTGTGAAGGTGGTTTCACACTGACACCATACAGACATCACTAAATACATTCCCTATGATTACTATGATTGTAAATAATATAAGAGATTGATAGATATTAATAATGGTATATAATAATTTTTATGCAGGATGTCCTGGAGACATCAAATCTATTTCAAGGCTTTCACACGAGTAAAAAGGTTGAGAAATGCTGGTTTAGAGTGTTGTATCGACTTGACTTTTCAACCTGGAAACAAAGAATTTGTCATGTTAGTGTATTGCATCTACAGTAAGGATATATTAAATTAAAGTGAGAATTATTTGGGACAATTAAAAGTAAACATTGTTGAATATAATACCAACTATGTCTACCTGTTTTTACTCAAGTGTAAGCTGGACCTATTTTTAACTTTTCAACATGAAAATAAACTGGACCTATGACTTGTTATGAATTTAAAAGCAATTATAAAAACAACAGGAAGACGAGGCAGCAATAGCCTTAAGAAAGGCTTTATTCAACAAAAGAAACTGAGCCAAACAACACAATCAGTGTCTCTCCACATAAACTCCCTTCTTCAAAGTATAACAGAATTTATAAAAGAAAATATATGTTCATTTACATACAAAACACCAAAGAAGAGTTCATTTCATAACAGGACCCAGGTCTTACTTTTTAACTTGAGAATAACCTGGAACTATGTCTATCTTTTAGATTCATTCAAAAATGAATTTCTGTCTACCTTTTTGACTCTAGTATACACTAACTTGTATAAACCAGTCCTAGTCTACTTTTTTGTAAACTGAACCTATGTCTACCTTTTCACTCATGCCTAGACTGGACCTATGTCTATTTTTTTTAATTAAGTACAAACCGGAGATATATCTACCTTTTTTTGATTCTTGGGTAAAGTGGATCTATGTCTATCTTTTTGGCTCAAGTTAAACTGAACATATGTCTACTTTTTTTCAAATCTTCTCTAAACTGGGCCTATGTCTATTTTTTTACTCTAGTATAAATCAGATCTGTTTACTTTTTTGAATTGAGTGCAGACCAGAACCATGTCTAACTTTGTATTAATTCCATGTGATTTTTGTCCTATAAGTCTTGTATTTGACATTAAGTAGCCTAAAAAGGTTGATAGGTCATTAAGTTAACCTGCCTATTCTGAAATTTTGGGGGGTTCATTTTAACCTGTAAATGTGTAACTATATTAAAAAGAAAAATATGAATACTATTCTACTCCAAAATAAAAATAGAAAATATGTATTAATTTTACTAATTTTCTTTATAGGGTAATCGTAACGAGTTAACACAGGAACAAATCCAGCGTGTCATCAGGGAGGGACCTGCCAGTGTGATTAATCTTGCTCAAGCCCGTGAGGATGCCCAAAGACTGTACCAGGCTGGAGAGAACAGAATTGGCACAGATGAGTCAACAATACTTTCTATTTTGGCTATACGAAATTATTATCAGATGAAAGCCACATTTGATGAATATGCAAAGGTAATGACTTTTTAAAACAATTTTTTTTTCAACTTTATTAGGAAAAGGCACAAGTCTTACAGTAATTTTAAAATTAATTCATGATGTCAGATCTTTATATTTGATAACAATTTAGTCTTGGTGTATCAAGGTGGAAAAAAATTAAAATTAATTCTTAATGTCAAATCATTATATTTGATAATTTAGTCTTGGTATATCCATTTGAAAAAAAATGTCAAAGCCAGATTCATTGAATTTGACTTAAACCAAATTGATATAAATCCATGAGTAATTAAGTTTGTTCATCCAATTCTAAACTGTATTCGAATTTAAGCTATCAACTTTGACTCCATTTTAGATATACAGCTCAATTTATACTGCATGAAAGTAAACAAGTTTAATCCAAGAGGAAAATGTGTTTATTTTACACAATAAATTTAATTTTTCAATATAGTCTCCTTTCATGTCAATGTATAGTGGTGAGTATTAATTAAGGAAACATTATACAGTGGAAATTTCAGATCAAAACTGAAAGATAGCATTTTGTCTAAATATAATCCACATAATAATTTTCAGTTTCTATATATCATAACAATGTTAGGCAAATGAATGACAAAGTGGAAAAAATTCTGGGTAATTTGTTTCGTCCTCTAGAAGGACTTCATCAGACTAAAGTAATGTTTTTGTTGATGGAATTACATATAAGTAGGAAAAGAAAGGAATGGGTATAAAAACAGAAGCATCAGTCATAATTAGGCGCTGACAGGCAAAGCTGAAAATGTTGGTATGCTGAAATTTTTAAATTTTTTTATAGGTTTATTTATGCTTTTATCACTTTTGTTATTAAATATCCCACATTGCAATACTAGAAAATCTCCCAAGATAGGTGAAATGTTGTAAGGACCTGGACACAAATTTACTGTGGATGATCTAGTACTTAAAGCCGTTTCTATACATTTTCATTTCAGTAAATTGTTTTCTTTTTAAATAAAAAATATGGTCAGACTCATTATGGCAAACATGGAGTGTGTTGTCTTGCAAGAGATATCTTTTTGTGTTCATATAATCTTTTATTTAAATTCCTTGAGGTTTCGCCTATGTCTTTCTTGCGGCAATCGTTACAGTAATTAGAGTAAATCGCTCCTTCAAGTTTTAGATAATTATTTTGTTGTATATTAAGTCTCTTATTGCTTTAGAACTAGTTGTAACAAATTTTATGTAAAGCTTAGATGAATTCTTCTCAATTGTAGTTATGAAAGAGTTGATAAGTAGAGTAATATATCTTGATTTGCTGAAATGGTTCATTGTTTTATTTTGAAATATTTGATGAGCCTTCAGCTTTGCATTCAGTATGAAATAATTAAAGTATTAGAGCAGCTTAAAAGTATTTTCAGTGTATTTCTCCTCATCTTGTACATATTGAGTGCTACAAATTCTGAGTGCTATTAAACTGAATCAGGTAATTATTCTAGACTTTATTTTGTTATGGTGAGAATAGAAATTTATGAACTCAATTTTTATTAGTTGATTTTTAATTTGATTTTACATTTATGAAAACTTAACATTTAATAAATAATTTATATTGTCTATTATTCTCATCTTCGTTGTCATTATCATGTTTCAGGGCATTTTGAACTGAACGCTTCATTCAATCTACAGGGGTAGATTGTTCTTATTTAGTTCTGTCCAGTTATTACTGGTCCTGCTTCCATAGAGTCTAAGTTAATATAGCACTTTCTTCTTGTGACTCTAATAGCATCAGGTAAAATTGATTTTATATAATATGATGTGAGACGGCATGAAAGATAGCATTGTGTCTAAATATATTTTACATTGTAATGAGTAGACAATAATGAATATCAACTTTAGAAGCTTTATTCTGCTAAACTGAACTGTTAATAATTAGATGCCTTTTATACAGAGTAGTCAGCATTGAAAATGGGGAGCTTGGTATAGTTTATTATTATCACATACTGTGACACTATTTAGCTATGGTAATTGGCTAACTAATTAACCATAGAAATTAAAACAGAAAATAGACATTCTTAAAGCAGAAAAAAAGAGCTATAATGAAAGATAGACTGATCAACGTTAAAAGAAAAAATTTTAATTTGTTTACAAAAATAGCCCGTGGAAGAAGCCATGTGTGAAGTCTTTTCCTGTCGAGTTATCGCCGAGGGAGATAGAAGGAAAAGCAAATATGGAATTATCGGCCAGAACCCATGCCGATACAAGCAGAAAGATTCAATGTTAATTATCTTTCCAAGATATCATTTAATTTCTTTTCTTGGATACAGGCGAAGAGAAGCAATGTGGCAATTATAAAATTTTGGCATTGTCTCAATATAGGTGAGAGGATTGCTATCATTTACTTTGCCAACAGATGCGAAGATGATGAATGGCAATGTGGCAATTGTAAACTTTTAGCAGTCCCCAGAAAATAGTGGAGAATTGAGATTTGATGAGATAAAAAAGAATTTAATTTTCTTAACAAGTCAAGGATTCATGATAAAGCTAACAGCATAAAGAACAAGATGGCAAACTTTGACAGTGATTAATGAAACAGTAAGCGTGCTGGCTGGCCCAGGAAAAAGAGAACATGTGATAAAAGAATTTTGTAAACAAAAAATTCTAGAGTAAGATTTTAAGGAGGCCAGCTTAACCACACCTGCACTGCTGAGAGATCATTGGTCGTATGGTAGCATGGTAATAGGCAGAGGTGAATGGATGATAAAGGCAGAATGTATGTTAACTGCCCACTGAAGGGGATTGGTATGAGATATCAATGAGAGAGAAAGAGTCTTTAGAAAAATAAGTCTTGAATTATAATATCAACTTGTTTGAAACATAGAAATGTCATATTTCATAGGAAACAAATTGGGAGAAAAAACATTTATTACACAATGGAAGGATAACGTTGAATTGTTATTTCTTAAACATACTTTTTTCCTTTGGGGTTTTTTTTTTTTTTATTTTTTTGTACTTGTGCAATGCCACCTTCAGTTTGAACTCAGCTGACACTTAAATACGAAATGCCTGATTGATCTTTGATTTTATAAGATCAAAATCACAACATGGGTAAAAAATAGACTTGAGATCAAGGCAGTTACTCCAGTAACCAGACGTTGCAAGTGAGCTGTGAATAGAGTTGGCATTGAACCGGTACAACCGGTGAAGCCATTAACATCGACGACCAGAACTCTACCCTGGTGCCATAATACATAAATTACATTTATTAAAAATTATGGTTTAATAAACAATTTTATAATTTTATTTACCAAAATAAAACACAAGTTATTTCTTTTGTTTTATTTTAATCATTTCACCCAATGTAAAGTAATAAAGCCATTAAATCACAAGGGGTTATTGAGTGTGAGAGAATATCAGAAAAAGGTGAGGGAAGAATGAAAGAACAGGAATTGTGAAGACAGATAACAATTGACATTGCATTTAAATTCTTGAAGATGAAGAAACCAGTAGGGATTTCCTCAAGCAATAAGTGCAAGAGAAGAAACTTAGCATAAAACTTACATAGCCCTGTTTGATATTTTCTAATGGTAATTCTCATAAAAGAATGGGTCACATTATGTAATAGTTCAAATATTTAGAGTAGCAGCAAACATGGTAAGTAGTCAGTGATAAATGTGTTGATATTCTAAACTAACCTTCAAAATTTTCTTAATAAGACTATTTTTCATACATTGGAAAAATTGTTGATCACATCATACACAAAAATAAAATATACAGATAAGACCACATTATCCACAATAGATAACCACCATTCTCCTGCAGATGATGAAATCCTTGTGAGCCATCTAAGTTTGTCCCAAAATTTTCACTGGTAAAATGAGATGCCATTTGAAAAATGTAACTACAATTTTGAAAGTGTTTTTCTTGAATTTTTTTCATGTATTTGTTTGAAAGGAAAAACATTCCAAAACTTTTATCCAAGCAAATGAAAAACAAATTTTCATTAATTATATTATATAATTAATGAAATTTTTTTTTTTATATAATATAGGGCTTAAACCACATTTCAATTCTATTTCAGTATACAGCACTAATATATATATATATATATATATATATATATATATATATATATATATATGATGCGGTGGGTAAATTGTCGCCATTTTATATTTTTAATTTCATGCATGTGAGTTGTTTGTTTTTGATTTTGTCTGCAGTGTATAGTAGGGTCAGTTGGGCACCATCTGTGAGAAAAAAGAGCACTATGACATGAAAATTTGAAACAGCATGCTGTACTGCTTGGCATTAGCACCAAAAGCTCCTATACGAACATTTCAGAGTGTTTTGGTGTCAATCTGAAGACAGTGCAGAGGGTTCGGAAAGAGTTGGATGAATCTAATGGTGTTTGGAGTGATCAATAGTGATGGTGATGTTATGCTCTATTCATCTTCCCACAAGGCCTCAGACACAAGACAGAGGGCTACATCTAGTGCCTTGAGGAGGTAGTGCTGCCCTGCGTCAAGAGGATAGCTGCTGGAAGGCCCTATGTCTGGTAATTGGACTCTGCACTATGCCACACAAGCAGGAGAACCCAGTCATGGCTGTCAAACAATTCCTATGGTCATATCATCTCTTACATCTGGCCACCTAACTCCCCAGACTGCAACCCCACTTGATTATTGTGCGTGAAGTGCAGTTGAGCAAGAGACCAACAAAACTTGTAATACCAAAGATGAACTGAAGGCAAGGATTATGGCAGCATTTACCAATTTAAACAAGTAGACCATCCAGAAGAATTGTTGGAGATTCTGAAGTTGTCTAGCAGCCATGTTTGAAGCCAATGGTGATTTTGTTTAATAAATCTACACTTTAGTCTTTCAAGATATTTTTGTGTAATTTTGGTAATATATATCTGTTAAAATGAGATGTCAGTATTATTTTCATTTTTGCATAATTTAGATGACAATTTACATCATAATAATCAAGAGGGTAGCAGTCTGGAAAGTTAAATGGTAAGATGTAAGGGTTGATGGGGCTTCAGAAATTGTCTGACAGTCATGATTGGGTTTTCCTGCTTGTGTGGCATAGTGCAGAGTCCTGTTGCCAGACTTAGGGTCTTCCAGCAGCCACCCTCTTGACACAGGGCAGCACTACCACCTTAAGGCACTTGATGTAGGCCTCTGTGTTGTGTTTGAGGCATTTTGGGAAATTGAATGAAAGCATAAAGATAATTATCGCTAACCATTTCAATTTAAACACCTTTCAATAATCACCATTAAACTCATCCAAGAATCATTATAATCCTCTGCACTGTCCACAAATTGACACCCAAACAGTCCATATTAGAGCTTCTGGCACAAATGTCAAGCAGTACAGTATGCCATTTTCAAATTTTTGGCAGAGGGAATAGTGTCATGGTGCCCTTTTTCTCACAAACGGCGCTCAATTGACCCTACTATACTTTGCAGACAACAAAATCAAAAACAAACAACATGCACGCATGAAATTAAAAATATAAAATGGCAACCATTTACCCACCACATTCTGTATATTTTGTGTATTTGGAAATCATAAATGATACAGATTTCATTAAACAAAAATGAAATTACAAACACTATAATCTTTTTATTAAGTTTCCATTTTTCAAGAAAGTTCAGTGAAATTTTTAATTTTGGGACATAAAGTTTCAAATGTCAGAAGAGTTCTTACATACTCTAAAATCCCTGAAAAAAATCACTGTATGAATAATGCAAGAAAAAATATGCATAAAAAGTTTAATTGCAGTGCCTTGTCAGTCATCTTCAATGAAACCTGTATGTATATATATATATATATATATATATATATATATATATATATATACACACACACACACAAATATAATCAAATGGATAAATATAGGTAAATGCAAATAGCATAAAACTGTTGTGCAATCAATGTAATGTATTCATATATATATATATATATATATATATATATATATATATATATATATATATATAATCAAATGGATTTATATATATATATATATATATATATATATATATATAACCAAATCATAATGGATATATATATATATATATATATATATATGCACAAACCAACTGGAGTAATGGATATATATCATCTGAACTTGATTCAGGAATCACAAACTTTTTCGAGTTTTTTTTCAAATGTCCAATCCAAAAGAAACCATTCACTTATGTTAAATATGATAATATTTTTTTAAACAAGATGAATCCTCTTCTTCTCCCTCCAGCTGTACACTGGGTTTTATAGCCTTGGATGGCAACTGGTCTAGGAGAAGGACAACTCTGAATTCAAAGCCTGCAGAGGGTCGTTTGTGGACCTTGTTGGCACTTTTAACCACCAGGTCTCTTTAATTTTCCTTAAAAAGTATGGCTGGTCCTGCACGAAAAACTTTTACGATAATCAAATCTCATGTGCTGTTGTCGGACTGTCGGTTTCCTTGGAACAATATCTGCTTGATCCTCATATGTTTAAAATTCAATGGGAGAGTTGACTATATATATATATATATATATATATATATATATATATATATATAAATAAATATTTTGATGCAACTCCTCTGTCACTAGAGTAAACCAAACTTAAAAATGAAATGAATTAGACAAAAACTTTTTGATAGCCAATGACAAAACTTTATTTTATCAATTTTGATGTTTTCTCTTTAGAATCTGATGACTCAGGCATTTTTGTTTCTAAGAAAATTTAATGTGATTAATTTTTATTTATATCTTCAAAATACTCTTATTATTGAAAATTTGCGTTGTATATTTTTCTCATTTGCACCTGTTTTGCAAAGTAATTTTCTTTGAACCAAAGTCTTGAATCTGAAATTTTTCACTGTCTGGGCCACTCTCAAGTACTGCAAAAACTTGTGGTTAAGTTGATTGCTTTGGAAAATGAAGGAAGTTCTCAGAAGCACCTTGACTGATATGTGTATCATATTTTCTACCAGTTCAAGGAAAGCTGTTCTGGGCCATCCTTCACATATGCCTATAGAATTCAAAAACTACAAACAGAACAAAATCACTCAATCGATCAATAACAATTTTCACCAAACATTTACAATAAATATTAACGAGTGTTATTTAATTTCTTTTTGATTTTATATCTTATAACAAATAATGATTAAGAGACATAATGAACGACAATTAAAGATCCATGAATTTATTTCTTGCCCTGAAAATAAGTGTCATTGAACTCAAGTGATTTGCTATTTTTTAATATGCCATGTTTTTTATTTGAGTTACGTCCCTTGAATTGTAATTATGACTGCACACAAAGACATTGTTGCTTTCTCTCATAAATTGTATTCATTTATTGTTTTCTAAGTTATTTAATAATTATTTATAACCACAGGAACAAAAATATTTAACAATAATCTGGTAATAAAATCAGAAACTGTGCACAAGTTCAGCAGCACTTTTGATAATTGCTGATTTTTGACTGGGTAATTCTGTCTGAATAAAGTTGAAAGTACATTGTTAAATCAGAAAGGCCAGTTAAGTTAAATCTTTAACAAAATATTAGATATAATGGTGCAATAAAATACAGAAATATAAGTAAATATCCCTTCATTAAAATCATTTAAAACAAAAACTTAAAACTGTTTTGGCACCTATCATGAATTGATTCTGTTGCCAAATTTTTGTCCAGATAAAGTAATCCTTTTTGTATAAATCTTTATCACTATTCATATTTTTTGGCAAGAATTTGACCTTGACTTATACAGTTGTCATATACCTAAGTAAAGAATCCCAGGGTCAAAAATTGACTTCCCAATTGATATGCTGGCTCACCTAATATTTCTATGGTTTATCAACCTTTTGCAGGATATTTAAAACCAGAAAATATTTTTAGGTTGTAAGAATATTTTCTTGGAGATGATAATGATTTAGTGATACACATATTACTAATTAACCCATAGCTGGGGGAGCAGAGGTGAATTCATATTTTTCATCAAGAATATTTGCACATAAGTGAATACAACAAACCCAACTGGAATTAATACTTGGCACTCTGATTAACAATTCCGAACCATTATTTATTACACCAACTGCACATCCAAGCTCACAGTACCTGGCATTCCCAAGTGGTCACCCATCGAGGTACAGACCAGGCTTGATGTTTCTTCACTTTCAATGTCAGGTGGCCATTTTTATAGTAAGTGCAGTTGTAGTCATCAATTCCATGGATAGTGACCTCCGATTGTATATTCATGCTTTTTACATTTAAAAATAGAGGGTAACATTATTGACATTTTAAAAAAAAAATTTTGCAGATTTCTGGCAAGGACATCATTGATTCTATCAAGTCAGAGACTTCTGGAGATCTTGAGTCTGGGCTCAAAGCTTTAAGTAAGTACAAACCACACTTTCTTAATCCCATCACCAGATTTGTCTATCTCTACACTTTCTTAGCCTCATCACTAGATTGGTCGGACTCTGCACTTTCTTACCCAAAACCCCAGATCGTTCATTCTGTACACTTTCTTTACTCATCAGCAAATTGGACCATCTGTACACTTTCTTACCCGCATCACCAGATTTGTCTGTCTCTACACTTTCTTACCCCCCATCACCAGATTTGTCTGTCTCTACACTTTCTTACCCCCCATCACCAGATTTGTCTGTCTCTACACTTTCTTACCCCCATCACCAGATTTGTCTGTCTCTACACTTTCTTACCCCCCATCACCAGATTTGTCTGTCTCTACACTTTCTTACCCCCCATCACCAGATTTGTCTATCTCTACACTTTCTTACCCCCCATCACCAGATTTGTCTATCTCTACACTTTCTTACCCCCCATCACCAGATTGGTTGGTCTGTACACTTTCTCATTCCCATCACCAGATTGTTCAGTCTGTAACATTTGTTAATTATAAGAATTCATGTTATATACCATTCATCACTTTTGTGGGTGAATATTCAATTTCAACTCTGAAACCTCTTTCCTACAGACGCAACATCATAGCCCATTATGTAATGGTTTAAATAGAGTTGCAATGAACGTATTAAGCAGCCAGTGATAAATGAATTGACATTCCAAACTAACTTTTAAAATTGTCTTGACAATAAAACTATGTTTTGCACTGATTGAAAATGTTATCATTTTATGTATACAGTGTATAGAAAAATGATCACATTATGTGTAAAAATAAAATATACATTACATACACTATAACTATTTCCATGGCAAATGTTCACATGAGCTCCATTCTTTAGTTCAGATTTTTACAGCTGGGACACACTCTGCTACTTCCATGGAGTTGAATCATCCTCATTTCCTCTGTATTTCATTTGTAAGGAAGAAGTTCCACTCAAACAGCTTTTTCCTAAGAACTGCTACTTTGTGAAATGGGCTCCCATGTGGATGCTTCCCTGAACAGTATAATGTTAGTCTCTTCAATTCAAGAATCAGTCATTATTTATCCTCCTTATCCTCATAATCTTCACTTCCTACCACCTCCTCTTTCATTCCTATCACACACTTCATCATAACCATTTTAGCGGTTGTGATAAATTCTAGAGTATCTTAGTAAGATTTATCAGAAAACTCAAAACACTTCAAAATAAATGAACAGAAACAAAAGATATAAACAAAAAATATGTTTTTATTGAATGACTTCAATATGGGCATGACCTTTACAGATTTTGTTGTTGAAAGTTTGTTAGGCTTGGTAGTTGTTAGTTTCAGTCAGACCTTGTTAGTAGTCATCATTTTGTTGACAGTTGATGAAAGTGTAGTTACTTTGGAGACATGTTGCAGTGCAAATATGCCAATTATATCAGCTTTCAAAAAGAGCGGAAAAATGTCTTAGCAAATGACCGCTTTCTTTTTCATGTGACACATTCAGATGCAGTCTCTGGCTGTCTCTCCACCTGGTCATTTATATGCATCAGTAAAATGACAAGACCAGCTCAGAAAAAGAAATTGGCAAGCCAATTTCTAATTTTATCTAAATTTGTTGCATTGATTTTTAAATTGGCACCTGAGGCAAAGAGTTTCTGAAATACTTGAAATTGTTTTCAGATAAGTATATGGCAGGTATTAACTTAAGCTTGGTGTTTCAGAAGTTTTATAACTCAGTAAATGAACTTAAATGATCTACAAAATGAATGTTTCATTTACTTGGGAAAAGATTAAAATACAAAAATTTAAGAAAAAAAAAATATGACCTTGTGGAGAATGGTAGAGGATCATAGTAACATTTATTGGAAAACTTTGAATACTTCAAAATAAAAGAACAGAATCAAAGACGTAAACAAATGTATTTTATTTGAATGACATCAATATGGGCGAGTCATTTATAGTTTTGGTTGTTGAAAGCTTGTTAGGCTTAGTAGTTGTTAGAGTCAGACTTAATTAGTAGCCATCATTTTGTTGACAGTTGTTGAAAGTGTAGTTACTTTGGAAACGTTTTGCAGTGCAACTATGCTGATTATATCAACTTTCAAAAAGAGCAGAAAAATGTCTTAGCAAATGACCGCTTTCTTTTTCATGCGACACTTTCAGATGCAGTCTCTGGCTGTCTCTCCACCTTGTCACTTACATACATTTTGAACAGCTCCAGGCAGCTTGGGAGCAAAGCTCAGTTTGTCTAAAAACAAAAGTCTACTTGTTTTTTTTTGATTGGCCAAAATTATTTTAATTATTTTCCAGTGTTCCTTTCTTTTTATAGTGAAAGTTATGCATGGAACCTCTTTTATTTTGGTAGATTTCTAGTCCCAATAAACTAGACCCTCAATCAGCAAACTTCAGTTTCACAGCTGTCGTTAAGTTTTTCTTCGTTTTTTTTTTTTTTTTTTTTTATGACAGTTGCCTTCTCATTAGTTGAGAGAGAAAGACAGAGAGAGAAAAAAAAGAGACATCGATTAAGGAAAGCAAATGCTTTATTTTAATTTTTAATATTTTATTTTTATATTTGGGCATGCCACACAGTTATCCTTTACCTTGAGTGGCTCTTGAGCCTTGTCTTGCAGTAATTTTAGTATAAAAAAAAAGAAGTTGATGAGGTACCTCACAGAAAATTGTCTTTGTGTGGTTAATGAGATATTTTGCTGTTATGACATCCTGCACTGACATTTTCTGTAACTCTGTGCTGTCCAGAAAATATTGCAATTTCATTTCTCTGCCTTGTTAACAAACTCGGTGACAAATATTGGGTGGTCTTTCATACAAAAAAAATAATTTTTCAGTACCAAAGGGTTAACTGGATGAAGATTCATTCTCTTCTGTCAACTAAGAACCAGAAAGCATTTACTTTTTTTTTTTTTTTTTTTATCATTTTACTCCAACCAAGACAATAAAGCCACTAAGACACAAGTGGTAACTTAGAATGAAAGAGTCTGATGAAAAAACATTAGGGAGAGTGGGCAATAAAAGAACTGGATTCAAAGAAACAAGAGATGATGATTTACATTGCATTTAAATTTTTGAAGATCAAAGTTAACGGGAAAGCAAGAAGCTGGGAGAGAATTCCACAAGTCAGAAGTGCGGGAGAGGAAAATGTTAGTGTAAAACTTACTTACATTTAGCAATTTCAACTGTAAAATAATGACACCTAGCTGCCAATCTAGTACTATGCTTAAATTCATAAAGTCAATGTACCAAAGAGGAATGCTCATCAAAACAATTACGATAAATATATTTATAGAAAAAAGTTATCTATACTTAACAAATTTTAACCTCTGTTTCTCATTTTTACTTTTGTGCCTAAATTATTTAGCTTGAATTAAAAAAACTTGTTTGATGTTTATTCCTTCCAGTTACCTGTTCCCGTAACCGACCTGAATTCTTTGCCAAATGTTTAAACAAAGCTCTAAGTGGAATGGGTACAAAAGACCACACCCTTATCAGAGTTATTGTATCTAGGTGTGAGGTAAGTAATCAAGTCACAATGATAGAATGTTTGTTCAATATTTGATTGAAGCAATTTCACTGTGATACTAACTCTGATGTAATTGATGGATTTTTTTTTTGTTGATTACTTACTACTGCTCTATCATTCAAAAATGTCGATTACTTAATAGCTGGCTACTGCTCTATCATTCAATAATGTTGATTACTTAATAGCTGGCTACTGCTCTATCATTCAATAATGTTGATTACTTAATAGCTGGCTACTGCTCTATCATTCAATAATGTTGATTACTTAATAGCTGGCTACTGCTCTATCATTCAATAATGTTGATTACTTAGTATCTTATACTTATTCTTTAGTGTTAATTACTTGATCTGATTCATCTAATTCCTTGTTTCAGATTGACCTTCAAAGCATCAAAATTGCTTACCAGAATAAATATGGCAAAAGCTTGTGCCAGGCCGTTTCTTCAGATACCAGTGGAGATTACAAGAAATTACTCTTGGCACTCGTTGGTGAATAAGAAGTTAAAAGAAGAAAAAAAAATTGCTGCTTTTTTTTTATATGTACTATTTTTTCTTTTGTTTCTTCTCTTTTTTATGGAATATATAAGTCCTAAATATTTGTAGAAAATTTACAGGGTTCACAGCCAACCTGGAAATCAGAGAATTTTGGTTTCATGTGAAGGAAATTGGGGAATTTTCTAATTCAACTTGACATGTGTTGAATGACATGTTTATTAAATGCTTTATTAGATTGAAAACTGTTTAGAAATAAATTGTAAATGTTGTTTATTTGTTTTCTAGTTTAGTAAAATTTGAATAAAAATGTTTGTTTGTCTATTCATCTTTTTAGCTGTGCTGTGGCTCAAGTATATGCTTACTGCTGTCTAAGTGATGCCCCAAAATCAGGAAACTTCAATGGAATTTTTCAGGGAAATCAAAGAATTATCAGGGAATTTTATTCAATGATTAAGTTGAGAATCCTGATTTATTTAGTTCTAAGCTTTGACATTTTTACAACTGAGAGAGCGTGATTAAATACTTCGCCATATACAGTGTTTGATAATAACAATGTACCTTCATTGTTACCATAACCTGACATGGTCTTGGAGGTGCTGCCTTGCTGAAGGTATCACTAACTCCATTTTTGGTAGTTAAATTTTAGGTTCAAATTCTCTAATATCCAATTACTGATGTTATCTGCTTACTTCCTTTGCTGTTATATCTTCCACGGATCTTTCTTTTAAAGTTTTCCATCAGCCATTTTACTTAATATCACCACACCACTGACAGTAAATGCCTTCTTTGTTAGACTGGCAACAACTGAATTGGTATTTTCATTGATTTTTTGTTCATTATCATGTAGGATGTCATGGGACTGGCAGAGCTTATCTCTGTCCAGGCCTTACCACAGTCATATTCCTCTATCGAGATGGCTTGCCTTGGTTATAAATATATGCCTGTTGTAGATATCATATATCAATTACTCTAAATTCTAAAAGATAGTTCAATTGAACTTAAAAAAAAACCCACAGTTATTAACAAGCAAAAATTAAAATATCAGCTAGATATTGATTTAAACACACTTAAAGCTAGTAAATGCTGACTTTTATAGAATGTTCAGTAAAAGTGCTCAAAACTATGTAGAGATTAAATAAACATAAAAATTATGAATGCCTTAGCTACTTGAGTTTCTCGCTTATGTTCAGGGATCATCAGGCGAGGTTATAATTTTATAATTACAAAAATAAGCCAAGCCTGATATTCCCTGACAATAAAGGAGAAATAGTAACTAGCATATTTATATTTTATAATTTTTATTTATGTATATTTAATCATTTCAGGATGTTTTAAAAAAAATTATAATCACTTCGGTTGTTAATAACTACTACATCTGTGAACCCTGTAAAACTGTTCCTTTTAATTACTGAAGTGGTACTGGAAATGTGACATCATTTCCACTGCCACTTCATTATGGTTCTGTACTATTTGAATATTACTTTGTTATCCATTTCCAAATCCACTGAAAAGAAAAGACACCAACAACTTATCTGCTGATAAAAAGTGTGTATACTTTTTGGAGAACCTTAACTTTTTATCTCTTTTTTTTATGTTGCCCTCCCTGCTTCTATCTTGCTTTATTTATATATATATATATATATATATATATATATATATATATATATATATATATATATGTGTGTGTGTGTGTGTTATTTTAAAGTTTGTCATATTTAGAGACGAAGTGTGCTCAACATTACAGATAGAGAATTTATAGATATGGACAACATAGAAATCAACATTGCATGATGACTGTCAGTTTAACACATCAAGCAATTTTCTTGGACCATTTGACGTACCATCTAAAGATCAAATTGAAACATGAATCTGACAGTCACCTCCAGTGCAGTGTTGATTCCTATGTCCACAATGTCAGTACCTATAAATGCTCTTCTCCTGTATATAGCAAATTTCAAATAGTATGCATGTGTGAGATCAGTAAGCCCATAGGCTGTCATAATTATTAGCTGAAATTGGATCTGAAATTTTACTGCATAATGTCCATTTTATATAATTAATGAAGAAGCATTGGATTAAGTGCATTGACAAGGAATGAGATTATACTGAAAAATAGATATTTGTTGTGTAAAAGAAATGCTTTTCTTCATTATTTGGCTCTAGAATGATTCATGTAGATTTGTAACATTAATCTACATTAATTATTGAAATTTGAATTTTTTTTGTGTGAATTCAAGAAAACAGATCTGTTAATCTCTCTCAGAGATTTTTAAAAACTTTTTATCGCATTTTCTCCCATTAAAAAGATTTATTTCTTTTCTAACTTAAATCATAACTGCTCAGAATATGTGTATTCATGTTTTAAATACATTTTAACCTGATTGAATCACACTTTAAAATAATTGCCATGGAATATTGAACTGTAAACTTTAATTTTTTTTCAACAGCCAGAACCAAAATAAGAGAACATAATTCAGATGTAGTTCTTTAAATGATTATTTATTTATGGTTCTTTAAATGTTTTTCCATGATAAATGACTGTCAATTTAAAAGCAGTACAAAAATTATTTTTAACTTAAAAGCAGTTCTATAAATAATTTTAAATTTTATAAGCATTTCAAAAAATGTTTTCAATTCATAATCAGTTCTACAAATGATTTTCTATTTATAAACAGTTCTATAAATGATTTCCTGCATATAAGCAGTTCAATAAATGTTTCCCTGCATATAAGCAGTTCAATAAATGTTTTCCTGCATATAAGCAGTTTTATAACTGATTTCCTGCATATAAGCAGTTTTATAACTGATTTCCTGCATATAAGCAGTTTTATAAATGATTTTCTGTTTATAAGCAGTTCTATGATTCTAAATTTATAAGTTCAATTATTTTAAATTTATAAGCAGTTCAATATCTTTTTCCAATTTATAAGCAGTTCTATGGATAATTTTCAATTTATTAGCAGTAGTTTTAAATGATTTTCTGTTTACAAGCAGTACTATTAATAATTTTCCATTTATAAGCGCAGTCTTTTAAACGGTTTTCTATTTAGAAACAGTTCTATAAATGATTGTCAATTTATAAGTAGTTTAAAGTGTGTTTTTTTTTTCTAATTTATAATCAATTCTATGAATAATTTTCAATCTATTTGCATTTTTTAAAATGATTTTCTATTTACAAGCTGTTTTATAAAAGATTGTCATTTTATAAGCAGTTCATTTTTTTTCATTTTATAAGCAGTCAGCATCTCAGTTGTTTTCTGTATATAATCAATTCTATGAATGTTTTTTTCTTTTTTCGTTATTTTTTAAAGGAGAAATAAAACAATATGCACTTTTTTTTTCATTTATTTATCCATTAACTTTTTCTTTTTTATTCTTTTTTTTTTTTTTTACTTCTGACAAGCACTGCTTCAGTGCATATAAAGTACATCTTTTAATTTATTTTGCAAATTTTGTAAAAAAAAAAAAAAAATGTCCCTGAAAACACTATTCTTCAATCTCTGTTTGTCTCTTTCTCTCAATCTTTCCATAATCTTTGCTGAGGTATCACCCAAAGTAGTAAATAGTTTTCTGTTATTATTGCAAAAGTATAATTTTTCATTATTTCTTACTCTTTTATTAACATCCCTGGCTGACTATTGTTACAGTACTCATTCATACCAACATGAACATATCTATTTTTCCCTGAATAAGTTGGGCTATTTCTGTTTATTTTTGTTTGATTTTGATTTCATTGTTTCTTGAAATGTTTTGGAGAAATCTTATATTATAAATTCATTTTTCAGGCACTTTTTTTAACAATAAGATTTTTTAAACAAATGCCATTTCTTTACAAGGGGTAGGCAATTATAGCTCTCCACAGATTCCTTTTCTGTATGAATTGCAATAACATCTTGGGTAAGATAGTGGAGTGGTTTCCTGTTGCCTTCTCAACAGCTCGGAATTCAGAGTTTTACTTTTGTTAGATTGGTTGCTATTCAAAGTGGTAGAACCCAGTCTACTCTACTATTTAACTCATAGCTGGAGGGGGAGAAGAGACAGTTTGGTGTCTTGTCCAAGGGCATTAGTGTGAAAATGAATGCAACAGACAAGGTAAACTTTGTAAAAACAAGGAATTTATTCTTGTGATCAGATTGTTTATTGACTAGGTGCCTTAATGGTTAACAAGTTAATCTGAGTAGCAAGTTTGATCCTCACTAGGTGCCTCATATTTGCGGCCTTGCACGAAACTAAGCTAAGCTTTGTAAATAACAACTGGGTACTTCAGCATGGAGTAATGGTTAATAAGCCATTTTTTTTGATAATTACAACTCAATAGTGAGTTTGACCCTCACTGGGTGCCTCATATTTGTGGCCTTATTTCAAACTAAACTAAGCTTAATAAGTAACGACATACTGTTTACTGTTGCTGTCAGAATATCTGAGATGAAAAAAGAATTATAAATGCAACATACCAAATATTGTTACCAAAGTCAAGCAATGTCAAACCTGGTCAGTGCCTAGATGGGAATACCAGGTGCTGTAAGCTTGGATTTGTGGGTATTGTAATGGGTAATGGCTTGGAATTGAAAACTGGAGAGCCAAATTCCAATTTCAGCCAGGTTCATTATATTCCCTGACATACAAATACCTTTGGGAAAAATATGAATCCACCTTTTTCCACCCAAATATGGGTCAAATAGTAAGAATTCTATTAATAAATCATTATTATCTCAAAAGATTCTTACAATCTAAAAAAAATATTTTCTGGCTTTAAATAACCTGCAAAGGATTGGTGGGCCATAAAAAACAAATCACTCTGTCTTGCTTTTCAAGCTTGTGAAATTCTCTTTCAGATTCCTGCTTTTCTGTCAACTACAATCTTCAAAATTTTAAATCCAATGTCAATTGTCTCCTTGAAACCTGTTCTTTTTTGTCCTCTCTGTTTTTTTCACTCCCTGTAACTCCTTCTGTCTTAGTGGCTTTTATTGCCTTGCTAGGGGCGAAATGATTAAAAAAAAAA